TAGGTTATATACTCGATGGTTAGGGTACAGGCTACTCCAGAAACGTAAATATCTCGAGATCTATTAACGACGACATAATCAGAATAGATCTACGCCGTAGATATTTCGTAGACTTCGTAGACTGTGGTTACGAATGATGTACGTAACGCGAACGTAAATTTGCAACGGAAAATTAAAATAAACCATTGGATTGTATTCTATTTACGCTTAAAACTTGGATTGAATTCTAAAGGTGGTTCTACAGAGTCACGTTATAAGTTTACGGCACATCCTAATTTCCTGACCTCAGATTAAATTAGTCCCGGTAATAAATTTTGTGCCAATTATTGGTGTAAGTTTTGAAAGGGAACCACAGCTTACATTACCCATACATGCGCGTAGGTGTATTTTGGCGGGCAGGCTGCGCGCTTGCGCGCTCCTCGGCCGTCCGCAGTCCTGCCACCATTCTTCAGTTGCCCACAAACTATCGCGACACAGGGATGTCATGACCCTGCTTGTGGACAAACGACCGTATTACTAATAAAAATCAAACTAAAATCGTTTGTCCGGCACAGTGACGAGTGTGAAAAGAAACCGGAACGTGTGGAGAAGAATCCTGTGCAAAATTTTGGTATGACACTGTGCTTAAAGAGGCGTAAAACGGTAAACAAATAGGCGTTGTGCCATAGCGATTTTGTGAATGAATTTAAGATGGTGGACCGCCGTGCGAGCGGGTAGAGACGAGGAATTTTCGGTGTCAGAGCGAGTAAAGACGACGGCTGGTGGCGCTGGTAAGCCGTTGGTGATGAAAAGAAACAGCGCGACCAGCCGACGGGTGTGGTGGTGCGGCCGCGTGGGTAGTGCGCGTGTATGCGTGCGATCGAAGCGGATGAATGACGATGACGTGGGCGGCTCGCGGCTAATGTCTGTTTGATAACGCTCTACTGCACGACTATCTATCCAATAACGACACGCGCTCTCTCCTTGTCAACTATTATTTTTAGAACACGTTGCTAGGGCACATACAGTTTCTTGTCAATATTTTGCGAAGCGCGACGGTCTGTCTCCATGGCTAAAAGCTTTACTGTTAAGATGATAATAACCGTTGAATATCGTCTATTAAATGTAGAGGATATCGATTAACACGTCTGAGACATTGTTTTTGTATCATACACAATTTAGTGAAAGCGACAGTACAGATATGATATTTTGACGTTGTAACAATATACACTGTAATGTATATTCATTTATAAATGCGTTCTGTTGTAGTAAGACTTCATAGGCATTCCGCGAACCGTGTACATATTTGTTAATCGATATTGCAACCTTGTGTAAAGTTCCAAGGAACACTGAAATCGCGTCGAAATATGCACCGGAAGAACTGCTTGTAATCCCCGCTAAATCCGGCCAATTTGTTTTGGAACCCTTTAAAGCCAAACGACTTCAATAAGCTATAAATGTTGCGTAAATTGGAATGTATTGCCAAACCTAATCTAAGATTTATAGTGTTTATAGTACCAGCAAAACCTTATAAATAAATGACCCCTTTGTCTCCTAACTGTAAACTGTAACATTGTGTTACTAAGTAGGTATGTTATTAGAAAAATACGTCGAAGTTCCAATATGTAATCCAATATTGTTATTGTTCATAGGAGGTGAAAGAAATGTATATTTGACAATAACTTGCGAAGTGAAAAATAAGTTCCTAAGCCTAAAAGCCCCATTGACTTTTTAATAACGAAACTTAGAAACAGTGAAATGAAAATCAAATGAAAATAGTGACCGGTGGTTTGAAATAAACATTGGTGTATTTGAACTGGCAAATAGCAGCGCGCAAGATGAGCTGCAGGAGGGGGCGGCGGCGCTCGCGCAGCCCGCTATGACTGCAACAAGGAGGCGACAAACTGCCGACAAACTATGATAATGGTGAGTTTCCTATTATCAGATACCACGCCTTCATGTACATTAATGGCGAATCTCAATTCTATTTCCTAGAGAACAACATTCACATTCCTCTGACACGCGGTGGCCGCCCAGCCGCCGCGCGGTTCGCCGCGTAGGCCAAATTCAAGTCAGTCTCGCCCGCGTGATCAGGACGCTCATTTAAGTTAAAACGTAAAAGCTAAAGGATGGAGCGTATTTTACCATGGCAGTTAGATGCATGCGGTCGCTGCGCGGCGGCAACGCGGACTCGGCTCGTCGACCGCGCGGGGTGAGCGCGATGAAATTCATGTCGAATACATGCGCCCTAACACCCATTTTAAATAACAAACATTACAGTCAAAAATAATTTTGACTTAAAACATGTTCGGAAACGCAAACTAATACGCCAAAATAAAAAGCCATAAGTCTTCGGTTCTACTTTTTCATAAATTAACCTAACCTAATAAAGGAAGGGCGCAAATTACAGGTACAGGTAAATGCCTTCTAAAATTATATGAATTGTCAAATATGTACAAAGGTTGATAGCGCACTTTCTTGCTGAACTATCTATGTAACCATCTTAGACGTATGTGTATTTTATATATTTGTATTTATATATATTTATAATATTATATGTGCGTATATTTACGTTAAATATTTTATGTGCTTATAATACTTACGTAAGTGTTGGTATTTTTAATCTTTTTAATTATCTATATCTGCTAAGTTTATTATTTTTTCTCCCTCCTTTTTTCTTGCACAGTGTTACCCGCTTACGGCCTTTGTTTTCACAGCCATGGGTTGTTAATTCCACCTTTGCCCACGTTTGCTGTTGTATTTTTTGGTGTAATAAAGAATATATAAAGTAAAGAGCTTTACATAAAATGTTCATGTAATGTGAATATTATTCAAAACAAGAATTTTATGAAATAAACTTATAGAAAGTGTATTTTAATCCAAGTGAAAATTTATTGAATGAGCTTTATATTAATTAAAATTAGTTTATTTAATTTTCACAAACATTAACTGCACCAGAATAATTCAGTCAAAATAACAATCACCATATTGATATAATAAGGACATATCTGCGAAATGATAGCTTTTCAGTAGAACGAAACGAAATTAGTCGCTTATCTCATCTCAAAATAGTAGAGTTACAAAATCTCATAAATATAAATCTTCTTTCATGTAGTTCGTATAATTTTTATCACTTTTCAGTGATAAAGAACCAATAGTTCTAAGAACGTATGATCACATAATGACGTATATTCTTTGGACATTATCGTCTCTAGTAAAACACGATCTATTGAAAGAATGATGTAACCAGCAAAGCTGCAGACATCGCGTCTGGGAGAAGTGCCAACTGCCGAAGTCGAACGCTTTATATCTAGGCTTTTGATAAATTGCCTACACCTTACTCATATAACTTGAAGTCACCACGTAGTCAAATAAATCACTATACGGCGAGTACGGAAATCGTTTTATCTCACTTAGTTTTTGATAACCTCGGTGGCCTAACGGTTTGCACTGTGGACTTTGGATGACGAGGTACCGGGTTCATTTCCCAGTAGAACTAATTTGAAAAATGAATTTTCCTAAATTGATTCTGGTCTGGGTGTTGTAAATAGTACTCTGGAGTGAATTCCGTTGCTCTGGTAATCTTAGTACAGGGAAATCCCTGGTTTGAGACCATGCAATTGTTGTCATTTTCTGGCACATTATTATTACAGTTATTTTTTGAGCGGGTATTAGCCCAGTGGGAAAACTGTTGTTTGTCTCAATTTGAGAGGTCGATAGTTAGAGTCCCTGTGGCAGCATGTGCCTATAAACCATTTGTGATTCATAACCCTTGGAAAACGTTTAAAGCCCAATCCGCATCAGGCCAGCATAGTAGACTATGACCTAAACCCTTAAAAGAGACCCGAGCCCAGTAGTGGTTCATAATGGGTTGATGATTATGACGATGAAGAGTATTGTTTTAGCTATTCTTATTAACTTTTATTGGTTATGTAGTGACCAATTATTGTTCGGCAGCTGCTTTTTGATCCATAGGCCCCTGGTTCAAATTCGGCTCGAAGGACCAATGTTCGGCAGCTGCCTTTTGTTGCTTAGTACGCTGGAATAAACAGTATATTGAAAATGAAACTTTGATTATCACACACATACTAGGCAACATCTTTATATCGATGTTGTAACATCGATAGAATATAAAGATGTTGCCTCACGGTAATATTAAGTTCACAATTAATGTTGCAATAATTAACAAACTATGATTATTCCCTACAATGATAATTTGACATTGTATCTTAAGTTCTAATATTGTGACATTGATAATATAAAATAAAATTATTGTATTATAATCTACTCTTTTCTAATGAATTACTCATTTTCTGTCGTACGACCAACAACTCGTTCTATTGTAAATGAAGTTTGGGCTTAGTATAAATGATATTAATACATTTAAAATTGTCAAGATGACATAAAAGACACAAAAATATTCAAGCTGATGTAATAAATAAATCACCATTTAATATTAAGCCACATTAATTCTGTTGCGTGCAAATCAAAGATTTACTAATTCTGTCTTATACTTCAGTTTGTCCAAACGAACAGTCGATTCACAAAATCCAATTTGTTGTTGAATAACAAATCCAAGAATAGTGTGGATGTAGCTATAAATGGGCCTATTTTGGCCGACCTTGGTACGTACCTACAGTTATTCATCGTTAGATATCAACGCGACATCGCAGCCTCGTCGCTGACTTCTCTATACAGGTTTTGGTTTGACCTTCGACATGGAATTGATTGGTTGGCGTTAATTCCTTGTAAGAATTTGCGGCAAAGAATTTGTGTTGAAAGGTGAACTTTTGTGGGACCACGTAGGGCGCCATTTAGAATATTGGCACCCAACAAGGGGCTGACTATAAATACAAAGCTGTTTAAAAAGTAATCAAAAAGTGTTGGAAAAATACGTGTATACAAATATTGTACACAAAGTGCCGCAGTACTTGCCATTAAGTCATAGCACACTTACATGCATATCACTATTGACGTATGCGACTCATTATACCTATTGTCGCTTTATTGAACCACTTGACATGAACAAACAATCCTATGACGTTCAGTCACCAGAGCTGGCCAGACATGCAGAGAAAGACAGGTCTGTGACGTAATTGTCAGATGACCAAGCCCAATCTTCATTTACTATAATGATTACATAAACTACACTATCCCGCAATCAATCAGTGCTATGAATTACGCATGGAAACTTCTGTGTAGACTACGTAGGTTGCGGTAGCTGAAGTATCTTTGAATAGGTTTATTTGTGTAAGTAAAGAAAGGGTTATGAAACTTTGAACAAAAGGGTCTGCCACAAGTACCTACTGCAGACATGTCATTCAGTGGTGTCCTTCTAAAACTTGATCGAAAAGGGTTGACAAGCGTAACAAGAATCAAAATAATTTATAATAGGCAGCAATACAGCCGTGGCAATGTTTAACCTACCGCCTCTCAAGCAGAGGGTTGAGGGTTCGAATTCCAACTTGCACCTCCGAGTTTTTCGGAATTAAGTGCGAAATTTTAATTTCAAATTTACCATAAGCTTTTCGGTAACGGAAAACACCGTGAGAAAACCTACACACAACTGCAAAGCAATTTAATGATGTGTGTGAAGTTCCCAGTCCGCATGAGAACTATTATATATAGCCCAAGCTCTCCCATTGCGAGATGCGCCCAGCCGTGGGGCTATTTTTTTTAATACAAATGTAAGTGCGCATTTGACTTCCATCTCACCTGATGGAAAGTGAAGATGAAATCTACGATAGAACATGCACACCTAAATAATGCATATTTACTCTCGCCTTCAAAAGGTCCAAATTATAACGTTCAAGTAACAAGTCTACAGGCAGGGAATTCCACTCCATAGCCGTTCGCGATGTAAATGTGGAAGCTTAACGCTTCGTGCGAATCTTTGGAATATCCACATCATAGACGTGGAATCTAAGTCTCCGTCTAGTCTACCGATGATAGCAAGGGGAAAGCGGAATTACATCGTGTAATTCCATCGCACACTCTCCGTTACATATCCTGTAAAATACCGATAAACAGGCAACTTTACGGCGGTGTTCAAGGCTCTGCAGCTTCGTCTCTACTAATTCCGAGTCACCTTTAAACTTCTTGAGACGCTTGTCAATTGAATCCAAGGTGGCCAGATGCTATATAGCAGAGCCATCCCAATCTTCCATCCTATCCTAATATTCTCTTGTTCTTCATCAACTACTACCTCTTCGCTTTAGTTACTACTACGGTAAGAAGATTTCAAATAAGTAAACAGGTTAACTTATTCTCAGTCTACTGCTCCCCGCTAATACGGCAAGTGTAGTGTTTATTTTTTACCTCACCAAAATCCACTATACTATAACGATCAAATCTAATATTTAATGTAACAGTAGTGGGATTGTGGGACATTTGGTTCGCAGCAAGCGCAAGTTGTCAGAGTTCCAAGCGCGATCGCATTTGGCAACTTCGGCCGCCGGCAAATCTAATATCCCGTTTGGTAAATATTAGTATATTCTACTCGTGAACCTTTTGTCATGTTCCGTTTTCTATGCAATACTAGTTCGCATTTTATGTACAAATTGTAAAATTTAAAACATTTAGATAAATATCATTATATATATGTATATAAGGTTTTTTCTAAAATACTAACAACGTCACAGCACTAAACTAACTAACTTTTAGCTTTTAATAATTCATCACATTTTGCTTTCGTAGAAAAATAAAAACATTTAAAATGATCTCACAGAATGGTGATAACTCAGTGCGGTAACATACCAGTCCTGTCAAAAACGCAGGGATGAGGGTCGTTAAAGAGGACGCCTGCACTTTTGAACTTACAGTCAAATACAAATGCAATAAGTGTCAGTTGAACTGCCTCCGTGGCCAAACGGAATGCCGGACTGCGTCGCAGAAGTCCCAGGTTCGATTCCCAGGCCGGGAGAAATATTTGTATGGCCTACATTTATTTCCCTCGTTAGTTTGGGTGTAATTTTTGGTTGTCTATGCGTGTGTCCATGGCACCCGTGACACACACAGGGTTACCCTAGTGCAGGGGTTCCCAAACTTATTTTGTCTACTGGCCACTTTGAGAATAAATTATTTTTTAGCGCCCCCATTTTTTCTCCTACTTAAAAACCACTATAACTTCAAATTAAATTAATTATTGTGAGATATATTAGCAGAGATTAAACATTCATTCTAAACGAGACTTTTACTATAACCCGCAAGAGTTATCTTGAGACCTGAGCGCAGTAGGTAGTAACACAACGGCGCTCTGGTCTCAAGTTAACTCTTACGGGCTACACCTGCCAATGAGTATAATTATTGAAATGCAACTTTGTAGTATTCAGACAGAGTTTTTTTATTGAATATAAAACAAACATAATCGATTCTAATATAAAAACTAATGTGAAGGATGAATCTGATGCTGTTTAATAAGTTTGTTGATGTCAGGTTCCAATTTACTCAAGAACAGCCGCAAGCCACCACGTTCGGTAACATGCAAACGATTTCTCTTTTTAGTAAGCAGCGTTGTCACAGCACTAAAACCGCGTTCACACAAATATGACGATGGGAATGCTATCAAGAATCGTTGAACGATTGACCACAATCCAGGGCACAATTACGGGATCGATTTTTGTAGCCAAAATTTTTGGTAGACATTTTTGAAATTGATTTTTATTTCCTCGTTCGTTGTTAATTCTATAACTTCTTCTTCCAACTGAGGTGATATTGCTGTGTTGACATTAGAAAACGGATCCAACACCCAGTCTGGTACTTCCAAGTCCAAAATGTCCTGGTATCGTTCGTTGAAGTCAATGTGGAGGTTTTTCAAATGTTGGCAGTAGGCAAACAAGTCGTCGTTACTGCAGGATACTGATAAATTCGGAAAATTGTGAAACTCACGTCTGCCCATATTCTTATTGTGTAGAAGCAGTTTGGCTGCGAAAGCAGTAACGACATTTTATGTTTTAATTAAATCTAGTTCATCGCCTTGCAGTTGGAGATTCAAGTCGTTGAACAATTAATACAGGTTTGTCATATAAGCTATATTATTCTTTGATGTAATGAGCTTGTTGCTCAATTCTGTATCTTTAGTTTCCAAGAACTCTATCACAGAGTCAACAGGTTGTAAAATCGAGTCAGACAATTGCCTTTTCGCCAACGAACCTCAGTATGAAACAACAAACGGTTAAAATCTTCGTCATTAGTAACACAAAGCTGATGAACTAATCTATCATTCAAAGAGTTGTTACGGATTTTATGGACTGCTTTGAGTCATCAAACGAACGACTATTTCAATCACTGCAATATGTCAATATTACGTACATACGTATGAACAACGCAATATACAGCAAGGACATCTGGAATTTTATTTTTTAAGCACGCTATGAAGCCTTTATGGCACACTGTCATAGCCGGAGCGCCATCCGTAGCAACTGATATAATATTTTTCACGTAAGACAGCAACAATGCTTCATTAGTTGGTAACGTGGACTCATCGAGCTGAATTGAGGATTGACTAGTTCTCAGTCCTTCCTTTATTGCTGGCAAAATTAACTCTTCTCCGATGTTGCGTGGTTTGCCTTTTTGAGCAATTAAGAAAGAGATATTGTACGAAGCTCGAAGTCCGTCGTCATCTTGCTTAGCAGCCGCCGAAAGAGTTTTGCTACACTTGGCTGAGTATTATGCTTCTTCTCTAGGTATTGAAAATACATTGTGGTCTTTCTTATCTGGATGCTTTTTATTCAAATGATCTTGCAGTCTTGAAGGCTTCATTGCTTCATTCGAAAATGTTTTTAGACATAGAAGGCACAAAGGCGACGATGGGTTTGTGGGATTTTCAATGAATCCGAATTTAATATAATCCGCACAGTATTGCCGTCTCTTCTTTTTTACTTCCGACATTGTTTTGTTTTGAGAAATACGTGCGAAACCGCAAATGAAAATAAAATAAATATTACGTTGTTTATATAGGATTGCATAATCACCACGCACCGACAGGAACAAGACAAACATGCAGGAACTCGTTTATCTCATTCGACGCTCAGTTGTACTCAACAAGTAAGAACAAGTATTATATCAACCAGCCGATTGATACAGGAATGCACAAATCGGGTTATTTAACAAAAACTTGTTAAAAAATGATTGCCCGCGGTCTACTATCTACGAAAATTACCTATCTAGGTATACTAATAACTATTAAAATGCGAAACTGTGTCTGTTGCCTTTTTATTTGTTTGTTTGTGTCTACTTTCATTTCGAAACGGAGCGACCGATTGGCATGGTTTTTATTTTATTTATTCAATAAAACAGGACAGATATATGAACTACATGGAGAGAAATATCGAATCGAGTTTGTTTGAGCAATCTCTTAATTAATATTAGTTGATGTTCACAAGTTGTAGTCGAGAGTCGAGAGCTTAGTCGGTGTCGTATTCCAGAACTCTACTCAATACTCAAGTCAGGACTTGAGTATTGCAGTGAGCACTGAAAATCATACTCAAGTCCTTGCCATTAGGGTCGTATTTCCAGTGCTTGAAATCATACTCAAGTCTGCTCAAGTCCTGACTTGAGCATTGAGTAGAGTTCAGGAATACGACCCTAAGAGTCTTCCTAGATGAAATTACAAATCTCCCCCTAAACCTCTACACAACGCCCCCATTTTTTTTCTGGGTCTCTTACCCTTTAGGCCCCCTTTAGGCGTGGAGCGCCCACAAGGGGGCGTTATCGCCCACTTTGGGAAAGGCTGCCCTAGTGTGAGACTATGTTGAGTATGTGCGTTATTTATTTAGTTAGTACAACATCGAATTAAAAGTATGCTTTTGGTAAATTTATTATGTTTTGTAAGAAATCATGGAACAAAAGTTGTTGTTTATGATACGAGTAATATGGTCCTGAGAGGTAATAATAACTCTGTATGCAACAACACTGTTAAAGAAACAAGTTTTGACATTATAAAAGTCTTAGAAATGAAACTTTTTCAGGTTTAAACTGCGCATATTTGTTTTTAAAACAAACCAACAACATTTCATACATTTTACGATAGTTATCGAACTAATGTTCCCTACTTAATTTCCGTGGCAATTTTTATTATATATCTAAGTATTCGATTTTTTATCGTGCAATATTATTTAATAGTTACACGGTAATATATTTGAATATTTAAGTAATAAAAATTGTAGTGAACACTAGTCTGAGAATGACCATTACAAGTACCATGGTCAGCCGCTACCATTGGAACCTGTAAAGAGACAGAAACTTGGATTTGTTTAAAAATAAACAAATGTACATGATTTAGATCCGATAAAATAGTTTAATTTCCCATATGTAGCAAACCTGATAACGTATACCTAACATATTTACAAAGATAGCCGCGTTTTAGTTAGTGGACGGCAGAATTGAGACCTTGACAGCTACTACATAACACATGCACCTACACAGTCAACTGTTATTTACATGATATAATACGCACCTACTTAGGTACCATAACAACATACGTCACAATACAAACCAGGAAGATTAGTAGCAGTAGAGCTCCTTGTGAAAGAGTTCGTCCAGGGAAATATTGCCACCTTACTAAGCTGTAATGTGAGCATTACTGCGGTCCGGTTTTGAAGGGTAAGGGTGCAGGTGGAATTACAGGCAAATGGGACTTGTCGACTTAAGTATCGGTGGCGGGCGCACAGCTTTGTGATTCAAAGCACTGAGTGGCACTGCAACTGTTATGGACAAGCGTGTCACTTACCAGCAAGCGCACGACTTGTTCGTCCCGTCACTTGGTATTATACACAGGAGACTCGACGGGGGTCTACGTTAGTGTGACATAAAAGTGAGTCCACGAAAATTTATCTGCTTTCGATAGTGAAGAACTAAAATGTTGGCTTGACGTCACCTATCAATGCAGGCAGATAATTATTTTAAGAAGCTCAGCGACTGTTACTTGTAAAAACTTGCATATTCCATATTCAGCACAACGTGTCTTTACTTTTTTGACATTCGCTCACAGCACAATCAATTAAATTCTCACTTTTTTTTTTTCGAAAACTATTAATTTGTGGTTGGAATTCGGCAATTTGCGTTGCAAATTTCCATAGTTAGATCTAATCTTCACATTTTTTGTCGAGTTTTGGGAATATGGTAGAAATGTAGCTGCAGGGGGTTCACCGGAGCCAGCTAAATTTTGAAAGTGGTCTATGAGAAAAATAGTCTGGGAACCTCTGGTCTATACAATCCAAATTTTGTTATTGGCACACTACGTATCCCGCTCTGATTAGCTTTCCTATATCTCAAAGCTTGTCTGGAAGACATCGCTCTTAGCGATAAGGCCGCCTTTACCCACATTACTTTCAAGCTGTCTATATAGTACTGTTTTTGTTCCTGTGTATGAGCAATAAAGTGTATATCTCTATCTATCTACATAAGTACATAAATATTTTACATTAAGGTTTAAGCAAAATTTATGAAAGTTCTGTACGAAGTCATTGAGCGAGTTCT